CTGGAGAGACCTAGACGTAGATGGGAGGATAATCTCAGGCGGGATCTATGGGAGATAGGAGTTGAAGGAGACTGGATTTTGTTGGCCCAGGACAGGGTCCGGTGGAGGGCTTTTGTTAGTTCGGTGATGAACCATGTAGTTAGTTAGTTAGTTAGTAAACAGAACCTAGTCAAGAAATTGAACTTTTGTTGAATCTGAAGGTTCATTACTGTGTTCGCAAGAGCCCGCCACTGGACACTATCCTGAGCCAGGCGAATGCAGTCGACACCCTGAGACCCTTTCCCTTCAATACCCACTTTAATATTCTCCTCCCATCTATGTTCCCGTCTCTCACGTGCGTGCCACATGCTCTACCAATACGATCACCATGGTGATGGTCGGTTTACATGTCCTGCCCTTGGCAGTAAAGACCATTTGACTTCGTAACTGAAGTAGAAATTGAGCCTTGAGAATTTCTGGCCTAGTTTTCCTTGAGGCAGGATGAGAAAATCGTGAAGTGACGAGATCTGCGCTGTGAACACGTCCGAAAATACTAAAAATACCTCAGCGACTTTGATCGCTAGAGGCCCCCACTCTCAGGCCTCAACAGTTTTAGCTGTTCTCTAAAATAACGCTGCTCCTGCTTCTGTGGCCCTGCGTGTCGGGCATTGGTTTAGAAGGCGGCGGAGGGATATGGACTCGTGGGGAGCCCTTTCTGTGGAGTTTGCAGCCTCGGCAGTTTCTGCGAGAGACGAAGGGAGTACGAGGCGTCCGAAAACGGTACATAGAAGTCGCCCCCTTGTTCCTTGTGTCTGTCGTGTGCCTTCTTCGCCCCTTTGTTCTTGTTATAACCCCCACACGAACACGTGAAAGGTTTCAGTAACGGGGGTGACGCCAAGCGAAACATCAGATTCGAAGTTTGAAATACATTCAGTTCTAACCTCATTGTGTTTCTAGGTATCGTGGTTGTATAGCTTGCAGGCGTGACCTCGTTTGTGAAAACAACACGCATCACGTGATTGTTCGTTCGGATATTCGTAACTGGAATACGAGGTTGGACGACAATGGACTTCGTGTTTGTGAATCTCAGCGCTGTTTTAAGTTTAACGTCAAAGAACCTTCTAGTGAATTAAGAAAGACACGAAAGTTTCTGCTGTCCAATTGTTGACATCAAATAAGCGATCCAGTGAATCTTTTATCTGAATAATAAGACTTAACGTGGTTTTACACAGTTCCCAGTGAGTTTATATTTGTTAACAGGCGTTCCAGTGATATATTACAAAACGTTTCTTACAATGATTGCATGTGTTAAGTCCTTGGGCTCATTAGTTTACAGTTTTGAAGTCCCTTTCATTACACTCCCATAACACACTTTTAATCAACAAACAGAAGTAGCTTCTTTGTTTGTCTATGACTCGTCGTTTAAGTAATGTTGCTTGGTAAATATCAAGCGCTCTTACGGAGTGTTTTGCAACCACTGCGGAGCTACGAACGTAAAATGTATATAAAAAAAAACAAATGCCTGCCTGTGTGTAATTCGATAGATGGCAGCACAGGTGACGTTTTCAGTTTAATGTTAACGGATTTACAGCTCGTACACCATTTTAACACCCGCACGTTAAAAAACATGCGTGACTTATTTGTAATTATTATAATTCGGTTGAGCAGATCATGTATTGCGATGTCAAATCGTTAATAATTAGGGAAGAATATGGAATAAATCGATAATGACCACGTTTCAGAGAGAGAACTCGACGTTTGAGTCTTGTAGCATTTGGTCATCTTAATCAGTCGGCACAGCCCTGTTTGTTTCGGTGCGCATATTTGCTGAAGAACTTGGTAATTTTCAACCTGTGATGGCTATCTTCTGCCAGAAAGTAATTAATGACGCAATTTTTTTTAAGCCAGGTTGCGGAAATCTGAACAAAAGGTAAAGAATAGTGACTGAACAGGAAGAAATTTATTTGCAACACACGATGCCACACTCGCAGCCATCAACAGATTCGTCACAACAAAACCTGGACAACCCTGACACGAACTTACTTTCAGCGTTTTACACCGAATGAATTGATATCACGTCTAACACTGCCTCGCCCAGCTAATATTCAGCAATAGTTTTTTGTTCTATAATAAATGTTTATGACTTACCTTGCACTATTCTTTTCGAAGAATTTTAGAAATGGCTGTGCGTGTTTTTTTGTTTTTTTTAAAAAATAACTTTACCTAGTGTTTGTGCTGAAATTGCCACCGATAACTTGAAATCCTCATAGTTCCTTCCAGTAGCGACAAAACCGTTCATGCGGAGATATTGCTGTTCTCATTACGGTATCTTCCTTCCCGATACCTGGAGAAACAAAGTTTAAAAGTTCCACGCATGTGGCCTCATCCATTCACAGGTTGGTATGCCCGTCTGTGGACTCTTGCCGAATTTCATCCAACAAATTTATGTAAGAATATTTTTGAATTTTTATTTTCGACATTAAAGTAACAGTAAGACCGATTAAAATAGCATCGTCTTCACTGAACATGTTCCAGCATCAACTGAAGAATAAAATATTGAGCACAAAACTGTGACAAAGTCTGGACGTGCGTGGGCTGTCAGAGGTTTGAGGTTAGGTCTTCAGGTGAGTCGTAACACGTATGGCCACCCTATCGACGGTAGCTGCCAACTTGGTAAGGCTTGTTCCAGAGAATGCCGTGCGGCGCGCTGCCATCAGTCGTACTAGGCGCCCATGCTTTGATCATTTGAAAGCTTGCGCCATTTGACGGTGGCGTGTGTCATTAAAACTAAAAGTCACACGACATAATATTGTATTACATTTTCGACTTATTTTAAAACATGGAATCACATTATGGAACGCTAATTAGCGAATCTCGAATCAGGCTGCATAATGGCGCGTCTCCAAAAACAGTGCTATATAGAAATAATGGTAAACCAAAAAACAAAATATCGTCCAGGAGAGCCAACCACTAGAAAATTACTGACTTATTTCTATTTCAAAAACTGTGCCGACAAAATGGTGTGCCGTGGATAAATTGTAATGCGAAAGATGAGAAAGCCCCTTCTGATTTATTGTTGTATTTAGGAAACTAGGCAAAGAGGTATCCCAAAACACTTCCAAAATGGCGCGTCATGTAAGAGTGGAAACTGATAAATAATCATTCCACCACTCGCAGACTGCATTGCTCATAATTCATATGATTACTGAACGATGGCAGCACGACCGCCTGGTTGGATGTGATACCAAATATTTCATTTGTTCGCTGTTAGATGACAGCACGACCGCCTGGTTGGATGTGATATCAAATATTTCATTTGGTCGCTGTTAGATAGCAGCACCAATAGTTTGCGTAGCAACAGACAGATGGCAGAACACGTTACAACTGATGTATTGCAACATCTATTTCTGATACAGACGCCAATGTCAGTCACACTTGCCTGTTCTGCCCATAGTGAGGTTTTCCGTGCTTTTCTTCAATTGTAAATGTAATTCGATAGATGGCAGCACAGGTGACGTTTTCAGTTTAATGTTAACGGATTTACAGCTCGTACACCATTTTAACACCCGCACGTTAAAAAACATGCGTGACTTATTTGTAATTATTATAATTCGGTTGAGCAGATCATGTATTGCGATGTCAAATCGTTAATAATTAGGGAAGAATATGGAATAAATCGATAATGACCACGTTTCAGAGAGAGAACTCGACGTTTGAGTCTTGTAGCATTTGGTCATCTTAATCAGTCGGCACAGCCCTGTTTGTTTCGGTGCGCATATTTGCTGAAGAACTTGGTAATTTTCAACCTGTGATGGCTATCTTCTGCCAGAAAGTAATTAATGACGCAATTTTTTTTAAGCCAGGTTGCGGAAATCTGAACAAAAGGTAAAGAATAGTGACTGAACAGGAAGAAATTTATTTGCAACACACGATGCCACACTCGCAGCCATCAACAGATTCGTCACAACAAAACCTGGACAACCCTGACACGAACTTACTTTCAGCGTTTTACACCGAATGAATTGATATCACGTCTAACACTGCCTCGCCCAGCTAATATTCAGCAATAGTTTTTTGTTCTATAATAAATGTTTATGACTTACCTTGCACTATTCTTTTCGAAGAATTTTAGAAATGGCTGTGCGTGTTTTTTTGTTTTTTTTAAAAAATAACTTTACCTAGTGTTTGTGCTGAAATTGCCACCGATAACTTGAAATCCTCATAGTTCCTTCCAGTAGCGACAAAACCGTTCATGCGGAGATATTGCTGTTCTCATTACGGTATCTTCCTTCCCGATACCTGGAGAAACAAAGTTTAAAAGTTCCACGCATGTGGCCTCATCCATTCACAGGTTGGTATGCCCGTCTGTGGACTCTTGCCGAATTTCATCCAACAAATTTATGTAAGAATATTTTTGAATTTTTATTTTCGACATTAAAGTAACAGTAAGACCGATTAAAATAGCATCGTCTTCACTGAACATGTTCCAGCATCAACTGAAGAATAAAATATTGAGCACAAAACTGTGACAAAGTCTGGACGTGCGTGGGCTGTCAGAGGTTTGAGGTTAGGTCTTCAGGTGAGTCGTAACACGTATGGCCACCCTATCGACGGTAGCTGCCAACTTGGTAAGGCTTGTTCCAGAGAATGCCGTGCGGCGCGCTGCCATCAGTCGTACTAGGCGCCCATGCTTTGATCATTTGAAAGCTTGCGCCATTTGACGGTGGCGTGTGTCATTAAAACTAAAAGTCACACGACATAATATTGTATTACATTTTCGACTTATTTTAAAACATGGAATCACATTATGGAACGCTAATTAGCGAATCTCGAATCAGGCTGCATAATGGCGCGTCTCCAAAAACAGTGCTATATAGAAATAATGGTAAACCAAAAAACAAAATATCGTCCAGGAGAGCCAACCACTAGAAAATTACTGACTTATTTCTATTTCAAAAACTGTGCCGACAAAATGGTGTGCCGTGGATAAATTGTAATGCGAAAGATGAGAAAGCCCCTTCTGATTTATTGTTGTATTTAGGAAACTAGGCAAAGAGGTATCCCAAAACACTTCCAAAATGGCGCGTCATGTAAGAGTGGAAACTGATAAATAATCATTCCACCACTCGCAGACTGCATTGCTCATAATTCATATGATTACTGAACGATGGCAGCACGACCGCCTGGTTGGATGTGATACCAAATATTTCATTTGTTCGCTGTTAGATGACAGCACCAATAGTTTGCGTAGCAACAGACAGATGGCAGAACACGTTACAACTGATGTATTGCAGCATCTATTTCTGATACAGACGCCAATGTCAGTCACACTTGCCTGTTCTGCCCATAGTGAGGTTTTCCGTGCTTTTCTTCAATTGTAAAGCAAATGCCAGGGTATAATTCAAAAGGGGCACGGTCCTCCAACTCCCATCACGGAGGCCTTAAGCTGAAGTGATCTCTCCCCTATCCCCAAGTCGCAGAGGCCCCTTGATCTCGAGAGAGATTCCCTACATAGCAGTATTTATTTTAAAGTTTTCTTTTCTAATTCTCGTCGTATTTTGTCCGCAAGGATTGCAGCATCCCAGAAGAAATTTATCTTCACTTCATTCAGTCATCGCCCCTTTTGGTTTCGTAATAATTTTCGTCACATTTGAAGCATTTATTTTCCGTAGAATTCATTACCAGTTTCCTCGCTGTCAGTGATGTAGGAACAGTCGGATTCTGGTCTTATAATAATCTTGAATTCCAAATTTATTTACATATTTTATTTACGTTCTCTGATGTTTTCTTGTCTTTTATCTTTAGTTTTATTTTCTTTGACTATTTTTCTCGTCTTAGAATCTTTGGTGTTTTCGAACATGTCGGAAAAGCTGTTTTTCTCCTTCCTTCTTACTGTTTAGTAAGAACTTGGACCGTAGAATGTCGTCCAAATCCTTACTTTGAGACTGGAGGAGGAATGACAGGAGATTTAATGACAAATCCTGAACCCAAGGCATTTTACAGCACTGTCTGTTGAAGGCCACCTTCATTTATATACTTGTTTTCCAGCGTGGTTTTGTAACAGAAAACGCGTACTCTGAAATCGATCTATGTTTAGTGGGAAAGTTCTAATTACTTTGAAGCCAGTGGCGACATTTTCATTCGTGGCAGCTTTCAGAACTTGCTCAAACTTAAGCCGAGTGCTCTTCAGCTCAGGGTTAATTTTAAGTCCATCTGAGACTGCGATGTGCTTTGGGCGACTTCAAAAATCAACGTATCCAGAGGCTGGAGATAATGAACTGCAAATTTAATTACTTCTAAAGGGTAATGAGTTGACCATCCAGAATATGCAGATGGCCTACTTTCCCTGCTCATTTCCTTGGGATAACTAATATTTGAGCGAAATAAATAAAACAGCTCACTATTCACTTTCCTCCTATGTGAACAACTGAAATTGGAAACAGATATTTTTCATAAAAAAACCCCTCCACACTACAGCATTCCAGTACCATCTGAAAGTAAATAATTACCAGCTTTTTTCTGTTCTTTCACTGAACCTCTGCTTAAGGGTACGTGTAACCGCTTTGATGTTGCCAATTTTTACATTACATTTGCCTGGTAAACTGGATACATTCAACTAAATACTTGCGACATCTCTGCCAGAATCGAAGGAGAGACCCTTCATTAGCAGTCCAGGAGAAGAAATGAATACGTGTTTATCAGCCTCAGTCTAATAGCTTTGAAAATACATCCTCGCTTATTAAATTTAACTTCCCGAATATATTATATTTTATTGGTAGAATAAAGACGCCAAAGCTCTTTAGAGGCAGATCAAAATTATTTTAGATATAACTTGTCAACCGCTGAAAATATTCAGAGCTTAGAGAAAAGAGCACCTCCTGTAGAGGGACGCCATATGCACGACTACAGTGCCCTCTGCGTTCTAACATGTGAAATACTCACCACGTGCCGCAGCCAACGCCACACCCCGCGGTGTCGCTCCTAAGAATTACATTATGAGAGACTCGATGGTCTCGCGGTGCCATGTTTAGTGTTGCTAAGTTTCGCCGGAAGATGTCGCGTCCGTCGGTACGCTTGTCCGTGTTATTTCATATTACTCAATTCTAAACGTTTCGTGTTTTAAATTATCGGCGGAATTCTTCGTCAC